TTTCCATAGTAGCACCAGCACAATATTTCTTCCTGATTCGCATGAATTGCACCATATTCAGCATCAGTCGCTTTATCAAATAATTGAGCTAAAGTAAGCAGTGGTACTGTAGAAGAAATTTGGCTTTGTTGTGATAATATATCATTAGAAGAACTAAGAATACATTTTCGAGACTGTGCATCATTTTGAATACCATCAGATATCATTTGAAAAATATTTTCTGCACCTTTTTTCCTATGACTATTTTTCAGCAGGGGCGCCCTGGCCGAAATTTTAGACTTTCCGAGTTCAGTGTTTCTGAATATCGAAGTTGAAGGAACTGATACCTCAGGTATCACCTCTCCCAGTGAAGTATTATCCGAAGATAAGTTTTGTCAGAGTATCTTTTCCCTAATTCTCTCTTTACTAACCTTTTCTTTATATGTTGAATCTAGGAAATCATCAATTTCCATGTCTTCCGATGATTTAGGCTCTGTGAGAATAGGAGATATAAGATGTTGGTTTTCCGATTCCTGGCATATATCAAAGTTAGATACATCATCAGAATTTGAAGTATTATTAGATATATTAGATGCCGGAGTATCGTTAGAATTTTTCATTTTGGTAGAGATGGTATTAACTGAAGATTGATCAATTCCCTTAGCATCATCATCTGATTTAACAATAAAGTTATTCTTTTCATCGGTTTGCGATTGCATCTGTTCTAATTTCGAAATTCTGGATCTAAGCTCATTGATTTCAGCATCTCTTAACTTCATGTTATTTTCATTCTCTTTTGAAGATTGTTCCAATTCCATGATTCTAGCCAAAAGCCCGTTTCCTTAGTCAAGAAATCAGCATTTTTATTTCTAAGCGAAGAATTTTCAGCTTCAACCTCAGCATATTTCTTTTTAATTTCAGTAATCTCGGCTACAAGTCTGTAATTCAATTCTCTCAATGAATCATCTTTAGATTGTCATTTTTTTATATAAAATACGGATATATTCAATTCTTTTATCATGGAGATATATATTCGTGTAATGAAATTTCGAGATACATGCTATGTAAACAAAAATAAATAAATAAAATCACATGACTGCGTGAAAAAATTTCACGCTCTATCAAAAAATTATCAATCATATGCAAGTTAATATACATCGATAACAATACAATAAGATAAATTCACGAAATATATATGCAAAAGTAAACGCGATTATGTATGCGAAATCTGCCACCAGGGCCAGGTTTATTATATAATAAAATACAGACAGATTACGTACAATAATCTTTATTTCTCATTCTGAATATGTAAAGAACAATTAGTAAATAAAATCATTTTTGATATATGTAATCCTTTTTGCGGATAATACATGATAAAATACAGTTAAAAAAATATCTGTCATTTGTTAGATTCTTGGATACGACGTTTTTTAATTTCATGCTCATCACACATTGTAATCCTATCCCTCAAAAGACCAACAACAACCCCAACCACCTTTTTCACACCCCTCTTAATCGATTCAAGATCCTCCTTTAATGCAGTTTTGGATAAATTTATTCGGTATTCACTTTTACTGGTACAATATAGCCCTTCTGCACAAAGTTTAATAAAATGCCATTCCGTAGCTATACAGAAAAGTGTATAATAATAGTATGACCCTTTTGCAAGAAAAAAATTCGTAATAAAATGCCAATAGAAATATTCATACCTGAAGAGACTATTCCGTAAAGATAATCATCATCATTTTGAAATGCCTGTTCTGCGTTTCGTTTCCTTTTATTCATAATGCTTGCACTTTCCAGTTGCTTTATATTTTGGAGATAACCGATTTCAACATTACGTGGCTTTCCCTCAGCTATACATATAAGATCCTCATTTCCTCTGATTGAATAATCAACACGTCCAACACTATCTTCACCAGATACATCATCTTGGTACGCAATATATATTTCTTCATCATTGGTAAGTTTTCGTGTAATTGCTATTGAAGCATTCAGGATAGATGTAATAAAAATACAACGGGTAGCTTCATTGGTACTATCTTGCATGATTTCCAAATTCGAAAGTCTCAATATAATTTCTTTCATACACTGTTTGAGATCCTTATCACCATCACCAATTTCTTCGTAAACTATAGAAATATATATTTCTTTAGTCATCACTTCGTTAAACAGGTATTCTATTACAAAAGTGATATATATATTATTTACCTGGATTAAATTGCTTTATAAATGTAATTTTTTCACCGTTGACTTTATACTTGCGAAGGACGTCTTTTAGCTCATCCAGAGTTTTATATGATGAGAAACTACGTAATTTTGTTTCATTAAGCTTTTCAATAAATTCTATAATTCTTGTTGTTGGCCCTCCTAACATTCCCCATTTTTCTAGTTTTTCTTCAGTTAATTTAAGAAAATCAGAACCTGCAACCTTTTGTTTACGAAGAATCGCAAAGTCGTCATCATCTAATTTCAAATTACTCCTTTGCAAATAGTCGATAAGTTCTTCTGTATCATAATCTTTAATAACATCACCCATGGTACGAGTTATTTTTTCTTCGTTAGAGTATACGCTTGAGGGCGAGGAAGGTGAAGAAGAGTGTGAAGACATTTTTTATATTGGTATATGGCGTAAAAAAAATCTGGTTTATGCACTGCGTATTAAGGTCAGATATTTATAGTATGTTGACTATACAGGTTTTAAAGTTGGCAGACATACGACGATAGAGATTGCGGAGATTTCGACTTCCTAAGACATAAGTCCTTTGATATACGCACTAATAGAGAAACTAGTCTGTCCCCCTTGTTGCCTTTTCGAGTTTCGTTTACGCTTATTCTTTTCGTGGAGCATATATAGAGATATTTCTCAAACACGTATAATAAAAAAAGATCTATGTTCCATGAACTTCTACGCTGATTTCTGCACACATTGGGGTCCTAATTAATCAAATCTATGTCAGGTGTTATAGTAAAAATTAATAATACAGATTTTATGCATAGATCAGCAAAATCGA